GGGGGGGGGGGGGGGGGGGGGAGCAAAAATAAAAATCGAGCAGGCAAAAAGGAAAGAAAAAGAAATTCGTGCACAAAAAAAGTTAGAAAAAAAAATCGTGCAGAGACTTTTCAATAGGGAAAATTATAAGTTGAAATAAAAAAATTCGTGCAAGGAATTATACATGATTTAAAAAAATGATCGACACAAGCAAAAAATTTTGAAAAAATATTCGTACAAGTTGAAAAAGTCCCCCACCCCCTCCCCATCACTTTTCTAATGGTCCGCCCCTAAGTCCATCCATCTAACATTAAAACACGACATATTACGGACTATAATTAATTATAAACTGGACAACGTAATACTGATTTTACGTTACACTGATTTTACTATGAAATTAATTGCGAGGTTCAAATTTGACGTCCACCACCACCACCACCACTACCACTAGTTGGAAACCACTAACCACGTACATGCAAACCGGGTCAGCGCGAGGTATAGTGACTGCAGTCAAAAGTGACTGCAGCTATTTTACACCAGATTTTAGTCCCGTTAAACACGTACTTTACAATATAGCATGCAAGGATAAATACTACACTATCAAAATTATTTGCGTGGTTCAGATTTGACCACCACCACCATGCAGTTGGAAACCACTAACCAATTACATGCAAACCAGGTAGTGGTAGTGGAAGTCAAACTCGAAAACCTCGCTATTTAACACCAGACCAGCTACGAGTAGCAGGTGATATTGCTCGAGCGACATTTCATGCAGATAGTTTTCCATGTCCTTGGACGTATGCTCAACATCAAAGTCCGAGTTTAGTTTATTAACTAAGATAATAAGTATAAAGTTTGGATTTGAATGCAGCGCAAGAGATCGATGACTTGGTATGACTAGGCAGATTATTCCATAGTAGTATTATTCCGTTGAAGTACAATGATCTGAAAGTTGAGGATTTACAAAGATTAGGTCGGCGTAGGTCGGATGAACTGAAATGAGTAGCGTGAAGGGAAGGTTGAGTAGAATATTGGTCTATTTCTACTTCATAGCCATGTCAGATCTTTAATTTCAAACCAGTAGGAGATTGGAATTTTTCAATCTGGAAGAGTACGAGGAATTGTAGTCTTGCGTGATGAACTTGCCCGTCTTTGAATGCCTTCTATTAGAACGAGGTCTCGCGATGATCCTTGGGGTGACCAAATCTCACTGCCTAAGACAAGTGAGATCTTACTAATGTCAGATATAGCAGGCGACGGCAGTGGATGTCGGTGAGTTGGTACAATGACGTCTTAAAAATCCGAGCGTTCGATTGGCTTTAGCAACCAATAGGCAATCTGATTTGACCACTTTAAGTCATTGATGAATATCCCGAGATTCATCACTGATGAATATCCCGAGATCTTTTTTTTGAATATTTACACTCCTTATTTCTTCATTGGCAAGGTGGTAATTGGCCGGCATAACATTCTTCCTTGTAAAACTAAGTTCCCATTTGACAGACCATTCTTGAAGTGAGTTAATATCGCGTTGGAGCAATTATTCGTCATCAGTCGAGGTGATTTGTTTGTAGCATTTACTGTCATTGGCAAAAATCGGTGTCTTGCTGTGAGTGGTTTCGTTCGGTATTTCGTTTACAGTAGATGATAAACAACAGTGGGCCAACTACACTACCAGTACCTTGCGGGACGCCTGAAGTCACTTCGAGAAAGGATGGTGACACGCAATCGACAACACGTTGTTGCCTAGCTTTGCCTTGAGCTAAGGTAGTCACAAGACCAGTTGAGCAAAGGGCCAGATATACCGTGATCTCGAAGTTTCTGAATAAGATTTGAATGGGAGACTAAATCGAAAGTGTTTCCAGTAATTGGGTTATACAGGATCTGCTTAGACGAAAACTGTGTTGAAGATCATGGAGCGATGGTTTGATAACTTCATAAACTTGCCTGTGAACTATATGCTCGAGAACTTTAGAGACTATACAGAGAAGTGAAATCGGACAATTGTTATTGATTTCGCTTGGATCATCTCTCACTTTGGTACTGGAGCGACGTTTGCTCGTTTTCACTCGCTAGGAACTTTACCATGACCAAGCGACATTGCGAAAAGTTCAATTAAATAACGTATTATGTAACTGTCCCAGCGACAACCAGTTCCATTCATTAGTGAATACGCTCAGACAAAGTAGGTGCAAGGATTTGTTGACATGAAATTTAGAAGAGTTTGGAAAAATAGATGGAATAAGTGGTGAGGTTGTGCTAATCATCGTTGCTTGTAGCTGAGAGCCAAGGTGATCGATTACAAAGGACGCAACTCAACCTGGACGATCATACAGCACAATTACAGTCAGTGGCGTGCTGGGTACTATTTTGGACTGTCAACCAATATTCGCCCCTATCATATTACACTTGATAAACGAGGGCCAAAGGCACGAGCCGAGCGCCGAAGGTGCGACGTTTGTCTAGGGGGATCCGGGGCATGTCCCCCAGGAAAATTTTTGAATTTAGAGTCTCTGAAATGCCATTTCCTGGACTTTGGGGGACGATTTGACAGAAATCTGATGGTCAGGAAACAGCATTATAACGTGTCGAAATTTGCAATTTGTACTTAAATTATGCAGTGCTAACCACTTCCAGCGATTAATCTAATCCCAATTCCATTCTCTACTGATCTAGTGATCTGAATACATAGTTTACAACTTACAGGTCTTTTATACAATAATACACGGACCCCACGCATATGTGCATTTTAAGGTTTCCTTGCCTGGCTGCCATTACTCATGATGTTTCTTGCGCAAACAACTAAATTGCGTACACAACTTTACATTATCATAACTTCAACTATCTAATTTGCGCCGCTCTCGTGAAGCATAATAAAGGGCGTAATATAAGGGCATAATACCAGCAAAAAAGGGCATAATTCTCGTGATCGCTTCCAAACCTGACCAATATTTCGGTAACGAGACATTGCGTTTGATCACTGATCATGTTCCTATATAAATGATTTCGTGTGCGCCGTGAAGTAGCAAATTAGAAAATACGGCTTAAAAATAGACAAAATAGTCTGTAATTTAATATATCACTTTGTCGTTTTCTTGGCGGAAGTAACTATATTTTTTCGAATACGTTTTTTCCCATCCACTTTCAAAATCCGGCGCGGGATCGGCGCCCTCTTTTCATTTCTGCGCCCCCCCAAGAATTGCCAGCTGGGGGGGGGCGTGGCCCCCCCGGCCCCCCCTGCCAGCACGCCACTGATTACAGTGGAAGGGTCCCTCTGTCAACATCCTCTTTGGGATGGAAACTGGAGTATACTCGGGAGAAAACCCACGTGACTTTGAGACTTTCTTTAATCACTAGATACTAGCTCGAGATTTTAACTGACTGTCAGTAGACTAAGTATTGATTTGACGTAACGTATTGGTGTTTTTTAGGTGCAGACGAAATTTACACCAGTTGTGGCTGACTTGATGAAACTGGACGAGGCAGTAAAAGCTATTGAGGCAACAGGAGAACATATAGATTTGTTGGTAAACAATGCTGGGCTGGTTATTTTGAAGGAAACGATTGATGTCACTGAGGAAGATATTGACCAGTACGTCGATTTAAGGATGTCCTCTTTTTAATAAGGAAGAGCTTAGTAATGTCTTTGTTATTAAAACTCTCTCGAATCTTGAAGAGTCAATCCAAATTTTGTTTCTTTTTCAGGTCTACAATAATCCACGTAAAAGTTCCTATTTGTCTAAGCCAGGTACGACAGTGTCACTGTGTCTGTGAGCATGCATGATGATATTCGTTATTTTATTCAGTCGTACAAGTTATTTTTCAAACTATTAACATTTTTACTTTTTAACGAAAACAAACGTTCATGAACTAACAATTAAACCGTTACATGTTGTGGTTAAAATCATTTATCAAAGGCCATGTTACACTAACGTACAAAATAATTTTTCCTGCAACTTGCAGCAATATATGTATCATGAACCATGAATCATGAGGTCAATATCAAAATTTTTGGGCATTTCACTCGATTGAAGGCAGAGTGTTGAAAGGATTGTGTAGATGGGAATTTCAGATGGGAATTCCGAGTGTGAATATTTTTTATAAAATAACATGCATGTAACGCGTGCTCTGATTGGTCGAAAACCGTGTTTGGATCAGGCCATCCAAACACGGAGTTAAATTTAAAGTGAAAGTTTTTTAAAGTGAAATTTTAACACGGACAGTTTTCGGCGAGTGATTTTGCGCGCTTTTCTTAACTCGAGCAACCATTCCCAAGTGTTTGGATCAGGCCATCCAAACACGGAAACCATAAAGTAATTGTATAATACATTTATTTTCACCTAACCACATACGAGCAACTGCAAAAACATTTCTTTGAGGCCATCTTTTCCACTAGCTGGGTGACAGATGAGGTTAGCACACTAGGTGTGGGTAACTTCTCTGTTCTTGAAATTCATCTAAGTAGAGTTTTCATCTGTGCTTTAAGCTGGTTTTTCTCAGGGTCATTATTCCTCTTCACCTGAAATTAACTCGTCTTAGGGCATAGTTTTCGAGCATTTGTACCCCAGCGTCGGGTGAAATGGACAACAAAAATGCAATGGACTTAATAAGTAATTATTACTTGATTAAATTATTATTGATTTATTTATTAGCATAATTAATGGCGAATTATAGATAAACCTCGTACCCAGAGCCACTTGCAAGAGGAAATGTGGGGTTGAATTATACATGACTGGTATAGCAATTGAGCCACTATGCGTACTTTATTGTTCCACCTCGTCTAACGCCAGACGATTTTATTCGTCAACGGGAGAGCGCTGTCACTTAATGGGTTAATACTATAGTTTTTGTTGTTTGTTTGTTTGTTTAGCTAGTCGCTCGTGATTTAATCAAAAGGGGAACGAGTGGTGCTATAGTGAATATCTCAACAACTGTTAGCAAAATTGCTTCTGCTGGCCGAATGCCTTACAGTGAGTATTTCCCTGCACTGCCACCTGCATTTTTAGATCATTTTATCGAGGTAGATAACAGGTAGGAGTAAACCCTTTTCGATTGAGATCCTTCAGATCTATAAAGCGGAATACCCATGCTTTATTCAGCTGTATTCGTGTATTGATTCCCACTTAATAAAGGTGTGTGCATGGTCAAAGGACGTTGCTGGCCTGATGTGGGGCGGGGATGGCGGGGAGAGATATTAGGGAGCTTAAGCATGTAGGACGGCAACACGACGACGACGGCAACTAATACAATGAGTCAATGAAAAGTGAATAAATAATTAAAGTCCCAGGGGAGTTTCAGACGTGGTCGTCGCTCTGTTTACAACGGCAAATCACAGATTTTCATGTCTTTTATACAACGCCTGCATTTCAAGTCGTAACAAGTGCAACTTAAAATTCGGTCAGTAGAACTCTTCCCAAACATAAAGCCAATGTTTTCAGCTTCTTATACTGTATTAAATTCATACGAATTATAATATACGACAAGTTTTCTTTACTATCATTTATTTGAAGGAATTTGTTTTGGCCGTCGTCGTCGTCGTGTGCCATCCTACATACTTAAGCTCCCTAATATATACTCGATAAAAGCGTGATACAGTGCATGATACAGTGCGAAAATATTTCAATTGTTATAAATTTTTTTTACAATTTTATAACGAATCTTTTATCAATGATTAGTACCCAGTAAAAGCTAAATTTCAATAGGTTTTATCTGCTATATATTTAGCTATGACCAAAGTTGCGATGAATAACGCTACTATGGCGATGGCAGTAGAACTGGCTAAACACAAGGTTGGTTAACTGAAATTCGTTCAATTTATCATAAGTCATCTATTAACCTCTAGTATAAGTTGTGACTAAAAAACAAATTGGCTGTTTAATTGGAATTAATTGTAACCCGCAGGCATGCAAAAATAGGTAAGTGTGGTCGTCAACGGCGGGTGTGAATGCTATACGAGTTTGATGCGTTCGCACGCTTCGGTGATATCCGAAGTAATTTACGATAAATGAGAAGCACTGGATCGTGATAGTTAGTTGACTCAGTTTTTTCGTTGGGATATACATCGGCACACGCAAGGAAAGAAACAAGGATTTACAGATTGAAGTTATCGGTTTCTTTATAGCACAGTGTTACAAGTCAAAATCTTTTCCACGGGTTCATCAATTTCGAGTTTTCGCCCCTCTTACCCCCACCCTATCGACAAATATTATTCAGGAACGTTGTAGTATAAACAAATAATTAAATGTAATTAAATTCAATTGTCAAAATCATTGCATACAGCAGTATTTACTTGTAAATCTGGAGTAGGAAAATGTCTGACGGCTTATACAATCAATGCAAAGGAAAGTTTCCGCACATGCGTATCAGAAGGAATCAGGGTAGTCAATTTATCCCAGGCGTTCTGTGACCCCCGTCCGCGATCATATCATATCATGTCAGCGGCATCTAGTAAATTACTTAAATAACATCGCCCGAAGTTCGACGATTTTACTCAAAATTCCAAAGGAATTTTACAACTTTAGAAAGTGGAATATTTCCAGATAGGACATCATTCCAATACCGTATTTACCATCAAAGAACAAATATGACTGGTTTATACTAGTTTATTTTGTCTAAAAATACATTCCCATGTACATGCAAATTAATACATCCTCCGAGAAAATTCACAAACTAACCTCCGAAATTTGAGGTTCTTAACATGTCTAGATAAATGCCATACCATCACAATATTTTATACTAAATATGAGCGGATCGTTTTATTTATATATGTGACCACTACTAGATATTTAGATTTTCTGCTCTCAGGGACGTTGGTATAGGGAGGAGGGTGTGTGTGTGGGGGTGTAACACCCCCCCCCCCCAAATCAATAATTCAGACGTTGGTCAAAGTTTGTAAAAATGGAACTGATATTTGCCCGAAGTTGATCAAAATGGAATTTATATTTGCGTAAAATTGAAGGTAGAACTCGGTATATACAATTTTAAAGTTTTTGTTATGTTTGCGGTGAAAAAATTGGAAGCTTTGCTTATTTTGGTTGAAAAATTTCGAATATTCTTATGTTAGTCCGGAAAATTTTTTTTTACTATGCTTATGTTAGTCCGGAAAATTTTTTTTAGCTCCTATCTGCCCCTCGACAACATTTTCGGGAAAAATTTGCACGACTTGGTCAAAATCCTAGGAAATGTTGGTGAAACCATGATGACACCCCCCCCCCCAATGTTGGTGGCTTCGCGACGTCCTTGTCTGCACTTGTATTTCAGCGTGTGCCGGTGGCGTGTTTGTCTAGGGCGTTGCGTGCGATCTAACATGCTGCTAATTGGTGGTTCGATTCCCGCAATGGCCAATGTTTTGTTTTTCGTTCTCATATTTTTTTCTTTACAATTTTTCCTAAGATTGCCTTTAAACAATATCTTTCGGTTAGATTAGAGTTAGGGTCACGTTTGTTTTTTAAGTGTATTATATTCAATCTTATACATTGTATTTTCAAAAATTTCACTTTTTTGAAATATATAAATTTGGGGGCTCCATCATATGCACTTTCATGCTAGCATTATATTTTTGTCGTATGTGAGTTTCTTAGGGGTAAATTTTTTAATCAAAGTTGCCTAATATTGAAATTGGCCCATAGCAACCGCCTTAGTAACCAAATGCTGTGGTTAAATCGCTGTGGTTAAAGGCCATAAATCGCTAGAACACTGTTGTTTAGTAATACCGGTATATTTGACATCCGTATTAATAGTAGTGCATCACATTATAGGCATGCAAAGGGGAGTGGGATATGAGCGTTCTCAAGCCCATAACTCCCTGCGCTTGTTCGTCGCGATGCACTACTTCATGTAAACCTTTCATATAGTGACTCGCATGAATATTTTTTATTAGCGCCTGGGGACGAGGCAGAACAATACGTACTGCCAGCGATTTTTCAACAATACAATTTCGCTTCATTTTCAAAGGCCATAAATCGCTAGAATACGGGTGTTTAGTACACTTTCTTACGCTGAATCGAACGGTGTCGCTTTCTTCTCAAAATATAAAGCAGCACAGTCAAACGTATATAAAACTTTTTATATAAACTTGCGATTTGCGAAAGTTGCTGTTTCCATGCGAAATTCCTTGTAAAATTGTTCAATTTTCCCGAATTTTCCTCAAAATGGAGGGCTATTTATAGATAATTTGGGTAAAATCGGCAGGAGACTTATGGATAATTGGGGGAAAATTAGGCAGCTCATTAATATTCTATTTTGTGGCTATCGACAATTGGAGAAAAATGCATGCCGAAACCTATACTCGTCTGGGCCCAGCGAGTAATTAGGAAAACAGTTTTCAATGTATAAGACCACCTTAATAATTCGCGCGCGAATTCGAATTGTATTAATTAATGCTAAATGCTGAGCCGCTGACATGATCTGATATGATCGCGGACGAGGGTCACAGAACGCCCGGGATAAATTGACTACCAGGGGCCGGTTGTATAAAACTCTTAAGGGACCGGTCATTATTTATGGCGGGGG